AAACCTGAATCTTGTGGATTTTGAATAAAATAAAGCACATTGACTGCATCAAATTTAGAAAACCTCACTAACCTTACATTTATTTTTATCTTGGGCTTGAAAAGGAGCCTGTTGTCAGCCGCACACTCTGCAGTAACCTCAGCACTGAGCGACTCTCAGGGGAGGGAGCTGTGGACTTGATTGATGTTTGGGTCTGTTATAGAGTCGATGAAAATAAATGTGACAGCGCAGCACTGTTAGAAGTAGTTAGAGGAGTGTCTGTTCAGCTCCTTAGTTCAGTTATTGACAGTTGTTTGTTTTTTTAAGTTTTTTTGAGTTCTTTATCTAACCTGGAGATTAGTTCTCTGATGTGTGTGTGTCAAAAATTTGCTCCCAAAATGTAGGCTCTCTCTTCACCTCATTGATTGCTTCTTTTACTGAGAAAAAACTTTTTAGTTGAGTTCATCCCATTTATTAATTCTTAATTTTATTTCTTGCGCTTTAAGAGTCTTGTTAAGGAAGTTGGGGCCTAATCTGATACGATGAAGATTTGGGTCTACTCTTTTCTCTGTTAGGCACAGAGTCTCTGGTCTAATTCCTAGGTCCTTGATCCAACTTTGAGTTGAGTTTTTGTCCATGGTGAGAGATAGGGTTTAGTTTCATTTTGCTGCATATGGATTTCTAGTTCTCCCAGCACCATTTGTTGAAGAGGCTATCTTTTCTCCAAAGTTTTTGGCACCTTTGTCTAGTATGAGATAACTCCATTTATGTGGGCCTGTCTCCGTGTCTTCTATTCTGGACCATTGGTCTACATGTGTATATTGGTGCCAATGCCATGCCATTTTTGTTTCTATAGTTTTGTATTATAGTTTAAGGTCTGGTATTTTGATGCTTCCTGCTTCACTCTTCTTGCTAAGAATTGCTTTGGCTATTCTGGATCTCTTATTTTTCCAAATGAATTTCATGATTGCTTTTTCTATTTCTATAAGGAATAATGATGGAATTTTAATTGGAATCACATTGAACTTGTATAGTGCTTTGGGTAATATGGCCATTTTGCCAGTATTAATTTTGCCTACCCAAGAGCATGGAAGGTCTTTCCATCTTCTAAGGTCTTATTCAGTTTCTTTCTCTGTGTTCTGTAGTTTACATTTTGTTAAGTTGATTCCCAAGTATTTTATTTTTTATTTTTGAGGTGAATGGGGTAGATTTCTGGAGCTAAACAGACACTTCTCAGAAGAAGATATACATTTGATCAACAAATATATGAAAAAATGCTCAACATTTAGTAAATAGAGAAATGCAAAACAGAACTACTCTGATTTCATCTCATACCAGTCAGAATGGTAGTCATCAAAAATACAACAAAGCTGGGCATGGTGGTGCACACTTGTAGTCCTAGAAGCTCAGGAGACTGAGACGGGAGGATCACAAGTTCATAGTTGGCCTCAGCAAAAGCAAGGTGCTAAGCAACTCATTGAGACCCTAACCCTAAATAAAATACAAAATAGGGCTGGGGATGTGGCTTAGTGGTTGAGTGCCCCTGAGTTCAATCCTAGTTTAAAAAAAAAATACAGACAACAATAAGTGTTGGTGAGGATGTGGGGGAAAAGACACACTCATAAATTGCTGGTGGGACTGCAAATTAGTGCAGACAATCTGGAAAGCAGTATGGAGATTTCTTAGAAAACCTGGATTGGAACCATGATTTGACCCAGCTATCCTACTCCTCAGTGTACAGCCAAAGGACTTAAAATCAGCATACTATAGTAATGCAGTCAAATTAATGTTTATAGTAGCTCAATTCACAATAGCTAAACTGTGGAAGCAACCTAGATGCTCTTCAATAGATGAATGGTTAAAGAAGCTGTGGTATGTATATAAAATGGAATATTATTTAGCATTGAAAGAGAATAAAATTATGGCATTTTCAGTTAAATGGCTGGAGTTGGAGAATATCATGCTAAGTGAAGTAAGCCAATCCCAAAAAACCAAAGGCTGAATGTTCTCTCTGATAAGTGGATCCTGATCCATAATGAGGAAAGGGGCCATGGGAAAAATGGAGGAACTTTGATTGGGCAAAGGGGAGGGAGGGGTGAGGAGGGCCATGGGGGGGCAGGAAAAATGGTGGAATGAGATGGACATCATTACCCTAGGTAAATATACTAGGTGCAACTAGGTACTGGGCATACAGTGCAATGCTACATCATGTACAACCAGAGAAATGAAAAGTTGTGCTGCACTTGTGTACAATGAATCAGAATGCATTCTGCTGTCTCATATACCTAATTAAAATAAATAAAATTAATGTACAAAAAAAGTAGAGGGCTGGGATTGTGGCTCAGTGGTAGAGTGCTTGCCTTGCATGCACTGGGCACTGGATTTGATCTCAGCACCACATAAATAAATAAAAATAAAGTTATTGTGTCCATCTACAACTAAAAAATTAAAAATAAAAAAGTAGAGAATGCAGGTGTGCAGTGTGGAACTTCTGTTACTTTGAAACCATTTTCTGAGAGTTGCACTGAGGATTAGGTGTGTCATGAAAGGTGGGGTATTTGGCCTTCTGGCAGTCAACTCACACTTTGAACTACATCCTGGAGAAGATCCAGGAAACTCCAGAGGTCGCACATGACCACCTTGTTCTGAAATAGTAGGATTTGGTTGCTTGTCCAAGGGCAAGGCAGGGCTGGTGTAGATGGTGTTCACTGGGATGAAATGTGTTGGGACCTTGTTTCTTTTGTAGCTTACTCTTTCATTTTAGAAAAGCCATTGTGGCTCTCTTGAGGCTTTTTAAAAATTAATATTAAAGTTTTGTTGTTGATTGAACCCAGCCTTTGTGCATGTTAGGCAAGTGCTCTACTATTGAGCCATATCCATGGCTCTAAATTTTTTTTCTCTTATTTTACTGTGATGACCCTGGAGAAATTATAAAAATCAGGAAAAGTTCTATAAAGCAAATATAGGAAAACAGGGCTCTTCCCCCACCCCCTTCTCGATGAAAGAAGGTAGATCCTGCAAATTACAGAGCTTGACATTTGGGACAGATATTCACTGGGAACTTCGTGAGCACGAACGTTTATAAAAAGAAGCAGTGATTATAAGCCGAGTCAAAACAGTGAGATTCTTAAGGGCAGAGACTATGCCCCCATCACACCTCACTTAAGAAAATTTAAGATTATTCAGAAGGTATAGTAAGTAAGATAGAAATACCTGTGGTTCCGTTACCCAGGTTTTTTTCATATTTACTTCTAGAATTTCTTTTCATTTTTAATGAGCAAAGCACAGCAGATCTATTTAACATCCATCATCCAGTGTCCCTTTTGCTTTCCTTCCTTGGTGGAGGCGACCACATCATATCTGTGTAGGATCCCACTCCATTTTATATGTTGCTTTATGGATATGACTATCTAGAAATCACATATGTGTATGTGTGTATATATGATTTTGTGTGTTTTAAACATTTTATACAAATAATTTTATACTATAGGTGTGCTATGCCCCAACCCCTGCTGGAATGGAATCCAGGGCCTCACACATCCTAGGCAAGTGCATTCCATTTGAACCACACCTCAGCCCCCTCCTTTTCAGCCCCCCTCACATTGTGGTTTTGGGGAGAGATGTACCCCAGAGGTCCCCATTCTGCTATTTTCTCCAACACCGTTTAATAACCACTTTTTATACCGTTTTGTTCTTTAGTTGTAGAAGGAGTCTGGTTCAGATCCCACTAGACTGGGTACTGTGTAAAATTTTCATCCTTGTTTATTCAGAAGCTTGTCTTTTGTGGTTTAGGTCATGGCACAAAGGAGTAGACAAGGCTTTTTGTCTCTGTGTATGTGGTAGATAACATTTAGGCCCCATTATCAGTATTTCTGCATTATTTTTCTCACTCAAATCAATGTCCACATCATCTTCATCATTTTTGAGCTTAGTTCTTTGCATCTCATAATAGGAATTTTGTTAATTTTCATTATGTTCAGGCTACTCTATGGTCAGCGGATCTTTTTTTTCCCTCTACAGTTATAGTGATCATATAATTTTTCCCCCTGATCTAGGGCACTTGAGAGCAAAGGGCATGCTATTAACAATTAATGCTGCAGCAGCAGTTGTAAATTGGAACTGTCCTAAGCAGACATGTACATCGTCACCTTGTTGACTCGGTGAGCCATAGTGGTAGGGAGTGATTGGCCGAGTGTAGAGGGGACGGAAACCTGGACTTTGCTGTGGAATTGGTTCAGTCATGCTGGGAAGTGGAGCGTGCCACGTTCTAGACCATGATTCAGAGTCCTTGTGAGTCTCTGTACCTGTGAGATCCAGTCAGCAGTCACATGACATGGCTCCTGTTGCAATTAATGCTTTCAGCTGGGAGAGGACATATGTTTCCTGAGGTGGTGGTGAGCACTTTGTGGAGGCAGTTATCTTTTAGTGTGCTGATAAGATGTGGGGCTTTATAAACCCTCTTCTCAAGGGAAATAAGCCTCACCTCTTCTGACCCGATTGGACCTAAGAGTCCAGGAGACTTGGTTGTTCTTTGAAAACTAGGATGAAAGATAAAGTAGAAATGGGAGCTCCTCTTGTCCTCTTGTGACTTGCCTTAGGGGAACTTCCTTCCTATGTGTCAATTGTTCCTTTGGTATGGTCCCTAGAAACTGATATGCTAAAATGGAGAGGAGTAATTGAACACTGACTATTGGTCAGAGAGTTTCAACTACTGCAATAATAGTTTAGGTCTGGAGGGAAATTTACTAATCCCAGTTATGGGATATTAGTGGTTTATTGGCCCTGTGCTCTTTGATTTGTGAGGAGCTTTTCTTCATGTTCCCTTTTCTCTTGAGCTCAGGTAATTTGTATACTTATTAATATTTGTTGAGGTGCTGTTACACTGGAGTTGTGATGGTAAACGTGATAAAGGACATCCTTGCTGTCTTAGAGCTGTTTACAGCGGTCCTGGAGGGGGTGGCTTACACGGTGATAGTCGAGCAAGTAGATAGACATCTTTCAGGTTGAAATGGATAGCGACAATGAAGCTGCTTGATGAAGAGGGGGACAGGGACTGTGAAGATGCAGGTGCCATCAGACAGGGTCTTTGAGGAGAACAGGCCTCGCTGATGAGAAACCAGAGAAGCAGAGTGAGGAGGGAACTCAGCAGCTGAGGAGCAGGTATCCAAGCCCTGAGGCAGGAATGAGCATGGCATGTTGAACACGAAGGAAAGTGTGGACAACCCTGGTGTGAGATGCGCAGGGAGTTTATTGGGGAAGCTGGAACGGGGGCTACAGGTCGGAGCACTTTGGCCTTAGAACCCTGGATTCCACGATGGGAAGTCTTGGAAATTGTGTACCAGGAACGAGCTCTGAACCAATTTACTTTTTCAGAGTGATCTCTGCTACTAAAGAGGCAAAGTAGAAATAGGAATTTCCTTGAGAGGGTTTTTCTCTATTGTGTTAGCCAGGTTGTTGTGGGCTAGGCCTCATGGACGGATCCCACCAGAGTCTTGCGGGTAGACCTGACTGCATGTATTGTTGGATCGGAGAGGAGGTAGAGGGATCAAGGATGGTTCTTAGGTTTCGTCTGAGATGATGGCTGGTGGCACCATTTATTAAGACTGGGAAAGCTTGGAGAAGAACAGGTTTTAGAGGTGGCCATCTAGAGTTCCAAGAAGAATCGAGATGTGAGTTTTGGTATAAGTGGCATGTAGATGGAATCCAAAGCCTGGGGGTGGAGGCTTTGGCAGATCAAGTGGAGGGGAGGTAGTGAGGCAGGAAGAACGTTAGGAAACCCATGCTGAAGAAGTGATAGAGGCAAGT